CCCCCCCCCCCCCCCCCCCTTGTCTTCCTTCCGGTGTAGATACTCCTTGGTCAATGCTCTGGCTGGCTGAGTGCAATCTGGCTGCACTGACTGTCTTGTTGATACTGAAGTTGGGTCTGACTAATGGGAGAAAAGGCCTTTTTCCATTCCAAAGAGGTACCCTCAGCCCGTGTGCTCTCCTCACCAGAGCTTGCACAGGACAGGCTGATGAAGGAGCTTGCATCTCTCCCCTGCCAGGGCCTGAGGGGAGTTCCTTTGGGAGCTAAGGCATAGTACATAGATGCCAAGCTCTTGTGGCCAGGACATTGTCTTCCTGATTGACTGCAAGGCAGACAAGGTTCTTTGGGTGAATCTGATATCTTTTATTAGACCAACTTAAATAGTTGGAAAACAACTATTAAGCAAGCTTTCGGGTTCAAAAACCCTCTGTCAGGCTAAGGAAGTTTCTGCAGTTGGTTTGTGCTTTTCCTGGATGGAATGAAAAGAAGCCAGAGGCTGGTCTGGTATGCAAAAACACCAGCCTGGTGTTTGGTCTAATAAAAGAGATCAGATTCACCCAAAGAACTTTGTCTGCCTATGTCCTTAGACCAACACGGCTACAACCTACACCCCGATTGACTGTAAAACACTAAGAACGCCAGTGGCAGAGTAATCACCATAAAGATCATGTGCCATTGCAGCCCAGTGCCATGCTCTGTGAGACACATAGTCCTGCAAGCCAAAGTCCCAAAGCATGAGCAACCCAGCTCACACACCAACTTTGGAGCTTGCCTGGCAATTCAAAAGGAACTGGATAAGAAAGAATGAAGCAACTGCAGTCCTGCTCTTTTACCACAGGGTGTCTCCATGACTCTCTTAATTTGTGTGATGCCCTGACTCCCTTTTTGTCAAGGTCTGTGGGGGCCACAACACTGCACTACCTCAGAGGGGTTGCTGTGAAGGTAAATGCATTTCAGACTGAGAGACACCCTGATGCTATGGTGACTGAGGACCAAATGGACAGAGTGTAGCTAAACAGACTGACTTTGGGGCTGATGAATAAGTAGCAGCCTGCTGCTGTTGTGTTTAAAATATAAAGGGTTAATCGAAGGTGGACTCCGGCTCCTTGCCAGAGATGTAAATAAGGTGTGGTCAGAACCAGCCAAGCACCCAGGATTCATCTTTGTTCAGCTGCTGCAATGGGAGTCATGGTTCAGTTCTTGGCAATAGGAATGGTCATTGCTTCCTATTGCCTTAAGCAGAAATGCGTCTCCAATGTGACTCTTTTATTGTCTCCCGATTCCAAGGCTGAATGGACCCAGAAAATGCATAAGCCTCAATCCTCACTCCCTGCCCTGCTTGCAGCTCACCCTTCCCTCTGCTTGGGCTCACCACTTCCCATTTTCTTGGCAGGGTGGCTCACAAGAAAGGCCCCATGGGAAAGCCAGACCAGAAGGAGCTGGATGAGAATATGGCTGCCACCCAGGGCCTCTGCCACATGATCACAGACTGCAAGAAACTGTTCCAGGTGGGTGGGTAGTCACAGCTCAGGCAGAGCAGGGCTACCTGGGCGCTCGCATGGCCCTTTCTGTTGTAGAGTCCAAGTGCCTCACAGGCATGAATGGGTTTGTGAGCTCGGGAATTGCTGTTATCCCCATTTGGCAGGTGAAGCACAGGGGAGATGAAATGACTCTCCCTGGCCAGGCAGCTGGTAACTGAACTCAGGGTCTATCTTCCCCATGCTGCCTTGTAGAAACTAGCCAGGTAGGGGCACTTCTGTGTATGCATTCAAGTAAGACTTGTAAAAGCCTGAATTTTGTCTTTGGAAAAGGGCCAGAAAGAGCTGCATAGAAATAGCAGGTGACAGTGCTTTTTACTGTGTGTTCATGTGGCTTGTCCCCACATCCAATGTAACAGACAGGGTGCCGGTCTGTTTCCCTTGCTTGTTGGATGGGATTTGGCTGTCACAAGTCTAGTGAGATGTACATCAGCTTGAGAACAAGCCCGTGAAGGTCCCCTGCCCTGACACGGGGACCTCTGGGTTACTGCACTCACTCCCTCCCCCACATTGCGGGTAAACATTTCGTATCCTGCCCCAAACGGAGTAAAGGCCACCTGTGGAAGGATGCAGTTGTCCTTTGAAGCCATTTGCGGGCCTTGAAAATCACTGTGGAATTACATGTGGCGCTCTCTTTTCCTCTGTGTTCCTGACCACTGACTGTCGTGAAACCCAGTGTACTCAGCTCTGAGACAAACAGGTCAGAAGTGATAGTTAAGCCCACTGGTGTCTCACCTGCCAATGCAAAGGACACAGTGCACAGGACAGGCACAGACAGGTTGGTGGGCCTATATCCACCCCTCTCTGCTGGTCAGATGGGATGTTGTAGTGTGTCAGTAACTACTGCACTGCATCAGTCCAAGGGTTTGTCTAATCCAGGATCTTGGTTTTGACAGTTCCCTGGGTCAGAAGTTTGAGAAGCATGCAGGAAGCCCCCTAGTTGGCAGTTATTGAATATCCTGCCAGAGGGGTATTTCTGCTGAATCTCTTCAGTTAGTGCTTGGCTTATTTTCTCTATTGAGCTATTTTATCTCCTGTATTATGTGGCTGCACCCATCTGGTATCTAGGGATAGCAGCTGGGGAGCCAGGTGCATCTAGTGAGCCTCAAAATCCGGGTCTGTCCTGACACTTGGGGTTCAGTAATGTTTGTGATACTGATGTTCAGCACTGCAGTGATCCTGCCAGCATGTGTAGGAAGGGAGAGGTCAGAACTTCCTGGTCCGTTTTTAGGACATCAGTTGGGTGAAGACTTTGTAACAGCTTGGTCTTTGACGTTCCATGTTTCCTTTGTAGATCCCCAAAGACATGATGCTCCAGCTTTGCAATTCCTACCTGGCAGCAGATGCCTGCGCACTCCCTCAGGCTGAGCCCACACACCAGAATGTGCAAGGGGAGTGCAAGGATCTTCAATTTTTTTTGGATGACAGCATGCAGAGCCTTCTCAAGGAGTCATCAGAGAAGTTTAAGGGGTGGCTCAGCACACCAGGGCCCCAGAACACAGAGATATCATGCAAGAAGGTAACCGCCACATTGGGAAGGGCTTGCACATATTGGTGGATGTGGGGAAATTCATCCCAGACTGATCAGTGGCCTGTGGGCTAGCAGATTCCTTTGTGAACCTAAGAACATGCAGTATGGTCATGAGCTGAATTGCTTCATCAGCTACAACTGGTACTTTTTTAGCTGGGTAGGGTAGTCAGCAATCCCTTCCAGCACTATCTACCCTATGCTGCTTGTGTGATGACAGTAGGCATCAGATGTTGGAAAATGAGCTAGCCAGAATGAACCATAGGATACTCTGTGCCTGTCATCTGCAATAGAGAATCTCGATAGGTAGTACAGCTGGGTGGGTCAGATATGTAGGCCTCTCTTCAGGAATTTGCCAACTAGCTGGGCAGGTCTGGCATGTTGTGTCTCCACCCCCCCAGTGGGCAGGCTGCATGTATTCATGTCATTATCCTCATAGCAAAGGGAAACCACCACATTAATCTTTTTACTCTTAGTTTTCTTGATTTGGTAACCTGCCTGACTCTACTTCTTGCTCCCCCAGGTCGGTGATGGGCATCCTCTGCGCTTATGGAGGGTTTTCACAGAGGTAGAGGCCCCTCCCAATACAGTGCTCTACAGGATACTTCGGGAGCGACACCTCTGGGACAAGGATCTTCTGCAGAGCAATGTTATTGAAACCCTAGAGAACAACATGGAGATTTACCATTACGTCACAGGCAGCATGCCGCCCCAACCCCACAGGGACTTCATCCTTTTCAGGTGAGGGAAGAAGGCAGGGGAAGCCAGACCAGGATGGGAGGGCTGGATGCCATGTCCCCATCCCTCGCTTTGCAGGTTGAAGTGAACTGAACTTTCTAGCATGCACTTCCAGACTTATCCCTGTCACCTTCCCCTCCACGCTGTGGTTTCCCACAGTGCACTGCATTATAAAGAGACACATGAAACCCAGTGGGCTTGGCAGAGGCAATGTACAACTCCTCCTTGTTAGAGGTGGTCCAGAGGTTCTGAGTGTGGAGTTTGTGCTTGTTCCTCTGTACAGGAAGTGGCACACAGATCTACCTCAGGGGACCTGCTTGCTTGTCTCCACGTCAATGGATTGCGAGAAGCTGAAAGTGGAAGGAGTCAGGGCAATGGTGCTAACCTCCCAGTACCTGATTGAACCATGTGGCATGGGCCGGTCCAAGCTGATGCACATCTGCCGAGCTGATCTCAGGTAAATCTCAAACTTTGCCCTTAAGCCTCTGTTATTAGAGAGGTGTTGGTCCTGCAGAAATGGGAGCAAAGGTCCTCTGGGTACCAGTGCTAGCTCTGTGACTTCTCCACTTTAGTTCCCATCTGCACAGTAGGGATGGTGTATCTTCCTGCAGGTGGCACTGTGCAACGTAACAAGTTTGTTTCTGTACATGCCATATAAAAGCAATCACTAGTATAGCTCACCCCCCTCCCCTCTTTACTGTGTATTATTTTACTCTACCCAAGAGCACACATCATGTAGCTAAATGATGATGATAATGATTTATACTGCAGATGGGGCTCTGTTTTGCTCTGTGTTATACAAACAGAATATAAAGAGTTCTTGGCTCAGAGCATTTCTAATCTAATTTAGGCAGGACGCAGCAAAACACAGGAGTGGGACTGGGGGAGCCTGGAGAGGGGGCTACCACTGAAGGGTGGTCCAGTGAATAGGGGACTGGGCTGGAAGCCAAGGAAACTGGCTTTGTTACCCAACTGAGCCTCAGCTTTCCAGAAGCTTACCCAGGCCCTCCTCTGTAAACTGGGGACCACAATTCCCTGGATCACCACAGTAGTGAGTGTAACAACTAAGAGTTGCGTGCAGCATGGGATAGTGGGGAAAGGACTATTTCCTCAGATGCTTCCTCACCTCAGAGCAGGTATGTTGACACAGTCCATTTTAGCCAGGAATGACCACTACTGAAATATCTTTTCCAAAATGTTATATGGTTCTCCATTATTTGCTATCACCTTATCGCTCCCTCTCTACTATTCTTTCCCCAGGGGACGGTCTCCAGACTGGTATAACAAGGCATATGGACATATATGTGCAATTGAGTTGGCCAGGATCCGTGATTCTTTCCCCACACTTACTCCAACTGGACCTGAGACCATGGTCTGAGCAGCTGTCACCTTGCTTTGGCAGAAGTGGGACAGAAGGAGGTCAAGTTTAGAAAGATGGTTCCCTTGTTAGCAAAAACAAGAGCAAATAAGTTTCTTATGTATAAATACTGTACATTTAGAATATTAATATATAAGCCAGGTGGTAGAGCTGAGTGATGTTCACTCTTAAGAGATGTGTATTTTGTATTTAAGGGACAGGTTTTTTTTGTATTGACTCAGAATGGGGCTTGTGTTTCCTCATCTGTGTAATAATAAAATCTTAACAGCATCCACTGTCTGGTGGTGAGTTCTGGGTGTCTGCTGCCTGCAGCTGTCTGTGCATCGTTCCTTTGCAGGACCACCCCAAAATGGGTGGCTGCAGTAGTGTATGAGAGAACCTGCTAGGTTGTGGGTGATGCTGGGCCTTGGCAGGCCTGTCTGCTGTCCTGGGCCTTGCACTGTTGCCTCATCCAGTGAATGCTCTGAGTAGGGCTCCCTGTTTCAACTTCTGTTTCCTGCTCCCTTTATTCTTCCAGGGCTGCTTCTGCCAACTGTTCTAGTGCCCTCTGTCTCCCCAACAGGAAAACATCTCACGTTCTTCTGTCTAAACCAAGCAATGCAGTCTGCCCACCCCCTCCACCTACTGCCCATAAGTGTAGGCAATGCAGTTTGTTGCCAAATCAAGGACTTGAAGCTGTTTCAGAGCTGCAGAGATAATGCAATGGGGAGAGAGAGAAATGATTATGAAATGATGACACCATATCCACAACAGCTAGTTGAGCCTTGCGCTGAGCCAGAGGCAGCAAAGCCCTATCCCTGCTGATGATACAGCCATGGCAATGAGAGTGTATGAAGCAGGCAGTTCCAGTGCTGCCACACATGGAGAGTGAGCACAGCCCAGTTCCACAGGCCCATTGGCAATCACTGTGGCTGTATCTTCCTCCATAGAATCAGACACTGCTGCTGCACCTTGGAGCAGGAAGTCCCCATGTTCAGGAACTGTCTGAGATGAAGACAAACGCTTGGAAAATGACCGTCTCTCTCCTTAGGCATCCCCTGTTCAGGAGGCATGTTGTTGTGGGAGGCAATGCCAGCCAGGGAAGTCACCTGGACACAACAGAACCATGGTCATGGAAAGCTTCATGTGCAGTGTGATAAGGCTTTTTATGCACCTGGGGCTAGTGGCTAGGTACCACCAGGCAATGCTGCTGTATATGGATATCTGGAGGAAGACCTTTTTGAGATCCTGGTCTGCCTTGCATTGACTGGTACTTTATCTACAAACAGCTTGATCTTCTAGAAAGAGGTAGTGGTGATGGTGTACAGAATGCAGTTCAAGGTGCTGTTGATGGGCAGGATGAAAGTAACCACCCAAGAGGTTATGGTACTTGTTCCAACAAGGACAGTTGGTCAGTAATGGTTGAGGTCAGTGCCTGTTTCCCTAGAACATTGGTCCAGTGCTTTTTTGCTTGGCAGTATTCAGGCAGATTCTCAGATTCTGTTCTCAGACACAGGTACAAGATGGAGTAAGCCCAATTAAATCAACAACAACTATTTCACAGCTACTGCTAGGTAAGTGAGAGCAGACTGATGCTTTGTGAGTATGAATGGTGAGAAAAAAAGTCAGCTGACAGCACCCAGATTCCACCCCCACACTCCCCTCACCCCAAGCAAACAGGGTCTGAGCTGAGTGCCACTGAATTAATTACCACCTGCCCATCCAGATTCTCAACGTTCAGAGGACAGTCCTTGAATCTGGAGATTGAGGTAAACACTTCCCACTGTCCTTCCCCTCTCTTACTCAGGCCCCTTGTCCCCCCTCAACTTTATGTTGCTCCCTCCAATGTATTTGTTCTCAAATTCAACCACGGTGAAAGCAGTCTCTCTTTTCATATCACAGTAGCTTTCCTCCAAAAACAGCAAGAAAGAATTGGCATGAATACCTAATTAAAGCAAATTTGCCTAGATCAGAACCTGTGGACCAAGGAGTCTGTACACTAATGCCAGGAGCATGGGAAGTAAGCAGGAGCAGCTATCCTTCCTGCTGTCTGGTGGGCATTTCGACCTAGTATGGATTACAGAGACCTGGTGGAACTCCTCACGATTGAAGCGTAGCTACAGAGGGCTATGCTCTGCATAGATGGGACCAGGTAGGAAGAAAAGATGGAGGTGTAGCTCTCTATGTGAGGGAATAATACACCTCCTTGGAGGCTGACATCAGCTCCAAAACAGAACGGCTTGAAACCCTCTGAGTTGAACTGTAGGGGGAGTTAAGGTTAGGGTTAGGGTGGAGGAGGCAGGGGCTGGTGAGAGAGACCTAACTGTAGGTATATATTATAGGCAACCAAACCAGGGGAAGGAACTCAGTCTTGATTTTTCCCAAGAACTGGCAGAGGCCGCGCATGCATGGGAGGTGGTCATCCTGAGTGACTTCAATTATCCGGACATCTCTTGGGAGGAACACTTGGGCAAGTTGGACCGGTCATGTTCCTTCCTGACCTGCATCGAAGAGCTCTTTCTGGCTCAGGAGGTGCACAAGCCAACCATAGGTAATGTTCTCCTAGGCTTGGTCCTGGCCAAGGGAGACAACCTGGTGACTGACTTAAATATAGAGGGTAGCCTGGACAGCAGTGACCATGAAACCATCATGTTCACTGTCCATCACAAAGCAGACAAATCTGATAGCAGGGTTAAAGTCTTAGACTTCAAAAATGCAAATTTAAACAAGCTCAGGTCACTAGTATGGGTTACGCTGCAGGACCAGGGCCTGAAGGCGAAAGGAATACATGAAGAGTGGTCGTTCCTTAAGGACATGATCCTTGAAGCACAAAGGAAGTCCATTCCCATGTGGAGGAAAGGTACCAAAAGGGGTGGGAAGCCCTCTTGGCTAAGCAGGGAAATCACAATCCTCCTAAGAAAAAAGAAAGAGGCATACAAACAATGGGAGCTGGGGGCAGGCCCTACGGAGAACTATACAACAACTGTCTGCACTTGTAGGGAACAACAGCTAGGGCAGCAGAAAGGCTAAGGCAGCAACTGAACTTAGACTAACAATGGGAATCAAGGACAACAAGAAGTCCTTCTTTAGGTACATAGGGAATAGGAGAAAAACAAATGAAAGTGTGGGGCCATTGCTCAACAACTCAGCACAGCTGGTTACTGGCACTCAGGAGAAAACTGAACTCCTGAATGGCTACTCTGCTTCGGTATTTCACCAGGCCAAGGGGAAGATCATGCCAGACAGGGTACAGAATGAGCAGGACAGGAACGACCACCTTCCTACTATCATCATAGAACTGGTATGTGATCAGCTAAGGAAATTAGACATATTTAAGTCAGCAGGACCAGATGAACTCCATCTGAGAGTGCTGAAGGAGCTGGCCGAAGTAATCGCAGAGCCCCTTGCAAGACTCTTCCAAAATTTGTGGTGCTCCGGAGAGGTCCCTGAGGACTGGAAGAGGGCCAGTGTTGTGCCCATCTTCAAGAAGGGGAAGAGGGAGGACCTGGGTAACTATAGGCCAATTAGCCTAACTTCTATCCTAGGGAAAGTCCTGGAAAAATTCATTAAGTCTATGTGCGATAGGCTTGCAGAAGGTAGGATTCTGAATGATAGCCAGCATGGCTTTGTTGCGGGCAGGTCTTGTCTTACCAATCTCATCTTTTACAATCATGTAACTCATCACCTGGATAAGAGAGAAGAGGTTGACACTGTATACCTTGACTTCCAAAAAGCCTTTGATGTGGTATCCTACAAGGTTCTTGCGAGAAAATTGGAGGATTGTGGGCTTAACTGCGAGACAGTTAGGTGGGTACGATGCTGGATACGGGGTAGGACCCAGAGAGTTCTGATGAATGGATCTGTGTCATCCTGGCAAGAAATGGGCAGCGGTGTCCCACAGGGCTTGGTGCTTGGTCGAGTACTTTTCAACTTCTTTAGCCATTTGTATGTAGGGGTGAAGAGCTCATTGGCCAAGTTTGCGGATGACACCAAGTTACGGAGAATCATGGTCATGCTTGAAGACGGGCTACAGATACAGCCAGATCTAGACAGGTTGGCAAGTTGGACAAGTCGGAACCAAATGAAGTTCAACACTGAGAAGTATTAAGTGCTCTACCTGGGGACAAACAACCCCCAACACACCTACAGGCTTGGCGGTGCCAAACTGACCACCACCATGAACAAAAGGGACCTGGGGTTAATAATAGACCATAGTATAAATATGAGCCAGTAATGTGATGCTGCAGCCAGCAGGGCAAATAATACTCTAGCGTGCATCTTCAGCAAAACCAACGAAGTGATTCTTTTGCTCTACTCAGCATTGGTGAGACCCCAACTGGAGTACTGCATCCAGTTCTGGGCGCTGCACTTTAACAAGGACATGGTAAAGCTTGAGAGTCCACAGAAGGGCTGCCTGTAGGATCAGATCGTTGCATGGCAAGCCGTACGAGGAAAGGCTGAAGTACCTGAGACTCTTCAGCCTGGAAAAGAGAAGGCTGAGAGGTGCCTTGGTGGCAGCTTACCACTACATCAGGGGAGTGCATCAAGGGCTTGGTGAACAACTGTTCACCAAGGCAGCCTTGGGGAAAAAAACAGGAGTAATGGCCACAAACTCATGGAAGACTGTTTCAGGGGCAACATAGGAAAAACTTCTTCACAGTTAGGGTGTCCAGACTGTGGAATAAGCTCCCTCCAGAGGTGGTGCAATCATTTACCCTGGAAATCTTCAACAAGAGACTGGACAGTCACCTTGTTGGGGTCACCTGACCCCAGCTGTCTTTCCTGCCTGGTGCAGGGGGCTGGACCCGATGATCTCCCAAGGTCCCTTTCAGCCCCTTACAATCTATGAATCGATGAAAGAAAGGTAAACCTCAGCAGAAAACTGACAGAATTTGAGAAAATATTGGTCTCACCAATTAAACACACGGGACTATTGTCTCTGTTATATAAAACAATTTTAAATAGCCACATAGAAGAGAAAAAACACCGTTTGTGGCAAAGTAGGCTAATGACACTGGATCAGAAAGTAGGGCTCAAATATGGGAGACCATCTGGGAAAATGGTCCTCACACATCCATCTGCACAATAATAAAAGATAAATATTTTAAAATCCTGTATCAATGGTATCTCACCCCACTAAAAATTAAACACATGTATGGCAAATGTTGGAGAATGTGCAGCCAGTTGGGAGCGTAGAGCCAGATGGCAGCATATCCCTCGGCCTTTGGGTGGTTCACGTCGTCCTGGTGAACTTTTCACCCGTTGACCCAATTATGAACGGAGCGTATGCT